GGCTGTACCATGTAGCCTAGGTGCGTATGTAGTAGGCTATACCATCTAGGTTTGGGTAGGTATGCTCTATGATGTTTGACAACAACAAAATTGCCTAACAACCCAATTTTTGAGAATGCATCCCTGTTATTAAGTGACACGTGACTGTATTTTAGGTAGAGGCTATCAACCTTGGTTATCCAAGAAGCAGGGCTGATGCTAAATGGATACAGTTACCCAATGGCCTATTTCTGTAGCCTCTTTCTAAAAAAAACCAGTAAAAACAGAAAAAAATACACCAAAAAGACAAAACAGCAAAAAATCCAAAAGATCATGTAGAAGTTTAACATTTGTATCTCAGAAACACTAGCTAGAAAAAGAAATTGGGGTCAAAGATCAGATTAGTAAATATAGAAAAAACTGCTAAACTGTTACTGCTATTTGGTCTCCAATATCTGTTTTTTTGTTCCATAATAGTGGAATCCTTGATTTTTACTTATAGTTGAACTTGTTGATCATTTTCTTTCTGGTTTATGCTTTTTGGGTCTTGTTTAAGAAATCATTTTCTACCTTCAAGTCACAAAGATATTCTACTATATTCTCCCTTAAGTTTTTTAAGGTTTTGCCTTTGGTGCACAGGTCTTAAATCCATGTAAAATTTATTTTTTGTTTGTATGAAGTATTGGTTTGATTCTATCTTTTGTAATATGGATATCCACTTATCTAGAAATGTATAGGCATTCTTTCTTGTCTATGTTCTTAAATAGGAAGCTTTGACTTTTTATCATAAAGCGACATGTTTGCTAGTAGATATCCTTTCTCAGATTTTAGAATATTTCCTTTATTTCTAGTTTGATAAGATTTCTCTTCCCCCTACCCCAAAATAATAACTGGGGCTTGAGGGTGAATATATGTTATAGTTAAGAGCATGGTCTTTAGAATGAGACAGTCTGGATTCAAATCTTGGCCCTGCTACTTGTAAGCTGAGTGATATTGGGCTTCCCTGTGCCACAGCTTCCTCATTTGTACAATGAGAATAACAATACCTCAGAGGTTGTTGTGAGGATTAAATAAGCTTCTAGATATATAACTTAGAATACAGTCAGTAGTCTTAATTGTTATCTAATACAGTATCTTTTGAGATAATTTTATTTAGTCTTAATTGTCACCTAATGCTATTACCTTTTGAGATAAAATTTTATGTTATTTTCTCCTTTGATTTGTTGATTGGAGAAATTACAACAATAGACTTTTTATTGGCAAAGTATACTTGCGTTCATAAGTTTCAAGGTATAACTAGAATTTACATTATTATAATATAGTATTTTATTGAGTATTGACACATCAATGTTCATAAAAAGTTTAGCCTTTTTTGTGTTCTCTCTGACATTATATTAGGATCATTCATACGATGAAGAGAGTTTCTTTTTATTTTTCTGTTCTCTAGAACTATTTGTGTAAGATAAGGATTATTTGCTCTTTGAAGATTTGGTTGAATTGCTATAAACCATCTGGGAAAGTGTTCTGTTTTATTTTGGTAGATAGATTTTAGTGACTAATTTATCTTTCAAAGCTTTAAGTCTATTAAATTTTTTTGTTTCTTTTTGAACTTTAAAAAAATTATATTCATTTTACAAAATTATTCATCTATTTCAAGTTTCAATCATGAAGTTGTTATTGTACTAGCTTAAGATTAAAAATGTTTATTTTTGTTGTCTCCTTTTCATCCCCAAGATTGTATATTTAGGCATTTTCTTTTCAATCATTTTTGCTACAGGCTTGTTTATCTTATTAGTCTTTTTTTTTTTTTTAAAGATTTTATTTTTTCCTTTTTCTCCCCAAAGCCCCCCGGTACATAGTTGTGTATTCTTCGTTGTGGGTCCTTCTAGTTGTGGCATGTGGGACGCTGCCTCAGCGTGGTTTAATGAGCAGTGCCATGTCCGCGCCCAGGATTCGAACCAACGAAACACTGGGCCGCCTGCAGCGGAGCACGCGAACTTAACCACTCGGCCACGGGGTCAGCCCCTATCTTATTAGTCTTTTCAGGAAGCTAAGTTTTGGCTTTGTGACTTTATCCTTTAAAAAAGTTTTGTAGCTTTGTTTTCTTTTTTTCTACTCTATTACCTCTTCCGTTCTGTGTTCTTTGATTTTGTATTTTTTCTTCCTTCTTAATGAGAACACTTTGCTTGTTCGTATTTGACCTTTCTTCTTTTCTAATGTAAGCGTTAAAGATATAAATTGTTCTCTTAGTACTAGTCTAGCTCTGCACTGTCCAATATGGTAGCCATGTGGCTATTTAAATTTTGGTTAAAATAAATTAAAATTAAATAAATTTAAAATTCATTTCCTTACTTGCATTAATCACATGTGTCTAAAGGCTACCCTGTTTGATTGAACAGAGAATACTTTCATCATTGCAGAAAGTTCTATAGAACTTTTACGTAAAACTTTTTATAGACAGTGCAGACTCTATATTAGTGCATCTCTAGTTGAGAAAAGACCCCAAAAGAGTACAGTTTTCTCCTTAATATATTTCATAAACTAGATTTTTAAAAGAATTTACTCTCTAATTCCTAGAATTTTAAAATTTATCTTACCCTTTAGAACAGCACAGTCCATCGTTTTTTCTGCTTGATCCATCAATTACTAAGAAAAATGTGTTTTAAGTGAACAAATGGGACTACATCAAACTAAAAAGCTTCTGCACAGCAAAGGAAAACATCACCAAAATGAAAAGATAGGGAAATGAAAAGTTAGGGAATGCAAATCAAAACTACAATGAGATATCACCTCAAGCCTGCCACAATGGCTATAATTAACAAGACAAGAAATAAGTGTTAGAGAGGATGTGGAGAAAAGAGAATTCTCTTACACTGGTGGGAGTGCAAACTGGTGCAACCACTATGGAAAACAATATGGAGATTCCTCAAAAAATTAAGAATAGAACTACCATACGATTTAGCTATTCCACTGCTGGGTGTTTATCCAAAGAACATGAAAACATGAATGTGTAGAGATATATGCACTTTATGTTCATTGCTGCATTATTCACAATAGCCAAGACTTGGAAGCAACCTAGGTGCCCATCAAGAGATGAATGGATAAAGAAGATGTAGTATATGTACACAATGAGATACTGCTCAGCCATAAAAAAAAGGATGAAATCTGGCCGTTTGTGACAATATGGATGGACCTTGAGGGTATCATGCTAAGCGAAATAAGTCAGGAGAAAGTCAAATACTGTATGATTTCACTTATAAATAGAAGATAAAAACAACAACAAACAAACACATTGAGACAGAGATTGGGTTGGTGGTTACCAGAGGGGAAGGAGGAGGAAGGGGAGTGAAAGGGATAATTCACATGTGTGTATGGTGATGGATCGTAGTTAGTCTTTGGGTGGTGAACATGATGTAATCTACACAGAAATTGAAATATAATGATATACACCTGAAATTTATATAATGTTATAAACCAATGTTACCTCAATTAAAAAAATATGTTTGAAAACTTCACCATGATTGGAACTTGTTCATTTTTTCTTGTAATTTTGTCGAGTTTTGCTTTATATGTTGGAGGCTGTAATCAAAAGCTTGGTCTCTGAACCTAGTGCCAATCCTAATAACGAGAACAGAGTCTTGGATGAAAAGGGAAAATAGCTTTATGTTCTTTGTCAGGCAGAGGGAGCAAAACAACAGCTAGTGCCTTAAGAATTTCTAGCTCCCCCTTAAAAAGCGGGTAGGGGTTTTTAAAGGTTGAGGAATGTAGCTGCTTATAGGGAGGGGGCCTGTGGCCTTGCTGGTCAGCACTTTCCCATGGGCCTGAGTTTAGGGTTGTTTGCAGGGGAGGGGGAAGAGATAAGGGATTTCACAGGTGGATGTTCTTCGTGGTTTGTCTCTGATGGACTCTGGTGCCAGGAAGCCAAGGAGTTGGGCCTGGGAAATTTTGCTTTCTTGATATTCTCTGGACATCAGCTTCCCTGTTATAAACTTCAAGGACCCACGATTAGCCAAAACTTCCGTGTGAGTATGAGGCCATCTGGGTTTTAAAAATTTGTAACTTCTATTTGGTTGTAAAGCTCAGGGAGTCAAAGGTTAAACCAACAGATATTTACCTATGAATGTAACTAAAGAAGCAGGGAACCCGGATGAATGCTTTTGGTTTTAATCCCATATGTGCTGAGTTCAATGTAGGGGAACTGATATCAGGGCCAGAATTAATTAAGAGCCTGTAACAAGGCTATGTTGTAAGATATCTGTAGATTTAAGCTGCATTTTTTATAATTCTGTCAATGTTTAAAAATAATTCTGTCAATTATGTATTGAGAGGTCATGTTGTGAAATAAACACTAGTTCATGTTTTTTCTATCATCTTGGTAAATTATTCTTCTGATCATTACATAAATAACTTATTATCAATAATAATTTTTGCCTTGGAGTCTATTTTGACTGATATCAATATAATTATACAACTTTTTTGGTTAACTTTTTCATGATTTATCTTTTTCACATTTTGCTACCAGCTTTTCTTTATTATCATAATTTAGGTATGTTTTTTATAAGAAGCATGTAGTTGGATTTTTATAATCCAACATGAGGAGCTGATTATTCTTTTTACACTTATTGAGGTTTCCCATATATTTGGAATTATTTCTACATCTTGATTTTTGTTTTTTATTCACTATACTTATTTTCCTATGCTTCTGTTTATTTCCTTTCTTGTATTTGATCTTTTTTTTTTTTTTCACATTGTTTCTTCCTTCTACTTATTTAGAAGCTGTAATTTTCAGGGCTGGCCCAGTGGTGCAGCAGTTAATTTCTCACGTTCTGCTTCTCAGTGGCCTGGGGTTCTCTGGTTCAGATCCCAGGTGCAGACATGGCACTGCTTAGAACACCGTGCTGTGGTAGGCGTCCCACATATAAAGTAGAGGAAGATGGGCACGGATGTTAGCTCAGGGCCAGGCTTCCTCAGCAAAAAAGGGGAGGACTGGCAGTAGTTAGCTCAGGGCTAATCTTCCTCCAAAAAAAAAATAGTAAAAGCTGTAATTTCCATTTCTATTGAGTCATCTTTATATTTTTAACATGCATGTTTGACTCAGTAAACTCCAAATTCAACCAGTATCTCTACCCTTTTTCTGAACTATGGAACACTTTATGTTTTTCATTCATAAACTGTCTAATATATTATTTTCACCTTAATTTTTAAACCCTTAAAAAGTGGTCATTATTTTAATAATTTGCTTTGCAGTCAATGTTTTTTCAAATTTACTCACGTTTACTAATTTATTTCTTCATCCTGGCCTCTCTTCTTTTGTGTTCAATTTATTTCTTCATTAAATATTTTCTTTAATAGTTCTTTCAACAAGTATACGCTAATTGTAAACATTGCCTTTGCTGTTTAAAACTGTTTGAAACTGTTTTTTATTTCTTTCTGCACCCTTAAATCATTACTTAAATGGGCATAAAATTCAGCTTGATAAATAATTTCTCTAATTTTGTGGATTTTATTCCATTATTATCTAGTGTCTGTTGTTGCTCTTAAGAAGTCATATTGTGGTTCATTGTAGGTAATTTTTTTTTAAATTGAAGGTTGTTTTTATATTTCTTTGTTATTGACGTCTAGGATTTATTTGTTTCTTTTTAATTTTATGTGCTTAATCAACATGAAAAAAATCATGTCTTTTCATCAATTCTTGAAAAAATTCTGTCTTTATCTCATTGAGTATTGCCTCTCCCACGTTGTTGCTATTTGTTTTCTGGGACTTCTCTTAGACATATGTTGGATTTGATCATTCGAATCTTCATATCTCTTAACCTTTCTTTTTTTCTTTCCATGTCTTTATCTCTCTGTATTGCATTTTGGATAAGAATCTTATATCTGATTTTTTCTCTTCATTAGTGCTTCTGTCAATGCTGTCTAATTTGTTTTCTAACTAAAGCCATTGAGTCCATTGAATTAATTTCATTGGCTATATTTTTTGTATTTAGAATTTCTCTATAATTCTTTTTCAAATTTGCCTATGTTTTTCTTCTTGCTGTCTTATTTCTTCCTTATGGCTTATAACTTTTATCTTTTTAGTCAACTTAAATCTTGTTATTTTAGTCTATTTCAGATTGTTCTCTTTTCTCAAGTTTCTAGGGTGCTCATCCTCCTGTTTGATGTGTCTCCTGTCTTTCATGGTGATTATTTTCCCATGTGTTTTGTGAATTTAATTTTAAATGATACTTTAAAAAAAAAATCTATGTTTATTTTGTATCGTCCTGAATGTAAACATGAAGTTTCTGGAGCAGAGATCATAGCTATTATTTCTTACATCCATAACTGCATTAGTACTCCTTGCCCCAATTCTTTCCTCCTTTTAGGGTGATGTGATGAGAGCCAAAGTCGCTCTTCATGTATTGAAGTCTGTGCTGCAGGAGAGGAATCCTGAGATTATGAATCTGGCAGTTTATATAGGATAGTTTAAACAACTGTCACACTCCCCTCAAGAGAGAGGGACAGAAACCCAATCTCTCTAATGTAAACAAGAAGAAAGGAAAGAGAAAGGGAAGGTTATGGGTTCTTACCCTTTGGAATGTAAATACATGTCTCCAGGGAGAAGATATGACTACTTATTGCCTCTGGGTTTACAGTACCTGGAATGTCTCTTGTGTTTCATCCCCCTTTGAAATATAAACACATACTCCCAGGAAGGTAAGTCTGTCAGGGTTTCTCTTGCTATCTATTCTGTCATCATTTAACTTCTAAGGCCTGCCATCTAACTCAGCATCTAGTAAAATTTGCTCAGAAAGCCCTAATCATGTAGAAACATGAAAATAGTCATTTCCTGACAGTAATATCTTTAGTGGAACTCTTTTTCCCTCCTATGGGAATCCCATGTGGCCTAGCTTATAAGAATTTTTATCCAAAATGGTTTTGGTTTTGCTTCTTCTAAGTGCCCCAGGGGTATCAATGGGCCAGGATTTTATTTTTTATGTTAAGTTACTAGATTGGGGGTTTCTATAAAAGACAGGTAGTTTAATTTGGTTTCCATATCTTTGTGATTTCTCACTGGAGACACTTTTACTACCTTGTGGGTATTTGGGGAGAAAATGTTCCAGGCAGAAGGAGTAGCAAATGCAAAACTCAATGAGGGTGTTAGAGGCACAGTGTGGCTGGAGAGGGAGTAAGCGACACACAGAATGGCAAGAATGAAGTTAGAGAGGTAGCGGAAGGGTAGGCAGATCTTGTAGAGCTTCCTAGGCTAAAGTAAGGGCTTTGGATTTTACTTCAAGTGATGTGGGAAACCACTGGAGGTCTTGGAACAGAGGAAGGGCATGATCTGACTTTTGATTTAAATGGGTCACTTTCACTGTTATGTAAAGAATTGGTTATATAGATAGATAACTGGTAGGATTATCATGTTCAATATTGATTCCCTTCAACCTGGCCTCTGAGAAAGGTGTTGGCTTCTTTTAAAGCTCCATGGAAACCAAATGCTTAAGGCAATCAACCCTGGTAGGATGCTGAAGTGACAAAATAGGTCACTACTCTGCCACATCATATAATGGCAGCTACAAGCCTTATACCCTAATCCCTGGAGAAAGGCTGCTGTCTCCTAACTGAAGAATGCCACATGGTGGAAGAGGATTGAAGCCAAGTTTCTACCATGACATAGTTACTATAGTTGGATCTCTCTGTGATCATACTAGGGTAGAGATTTGATGCTTCCCTAATTAGGAAGTTTAAAAACCCTGCAACCCAATGACTGAAGTTGGATGTCCAGTCCTGTTAGATCCTTGTTCATTACCTCATAATTCAATGGGCAAAGGGTAACTGACACACATGCTACAGCTCCTTTTACTATAAAATTCTCTCAGTAAAAACTGTTTCAGAAGGCCTGGTGTCTGATTCTTTGCTCTTGTTTTCACGGCAAGGGCCCAGAGGGTAGGATAGGGGTGGAGTATGGGCAGGAGCAGAAAGACCAATCAAGTAGCTATTGAAATTACTTGAGAGATAATGGCTTCTTTGAACAAAATGGAGTAGAGGTGATGAGAAGCAGTCATATTGGGCTATATTTAGAAGGAAGAGCTGATAGGATTTGCTGATAGATTGAATTTAAGAGAAAGAGAAGAATTATAATAATTTAATGATTCTTGTTTTGCCCAATTGGAAAAACTGAGGTTCTGTTTATTGAGGTGAGAAGAGTATGCACATTCAATAAATGTATATTGAATGAAGTAATGAAGGAAAAATGAATAGAAGATTTTAAAAGAATTGTATAAACACAAGATCCTGTACCATCAATATGCTTTTGGTAACTAATCTATAAGCTCCAGGAAGGCAGGGACTATTTTGTTTACCCTTATATATCTGTCAACTAATATACTACCTTGTATATAATGCAACCTGTCTACCTCTGTCTCTGTCTCTCTCTATCTGTAAATGACGAGTACGTGTATATATACATACGTATGCACATATATGTTTTGAATAAATGGATGAATGTAGGAATGAAGAGATGAATGGATGTGACATACTTTGCTCTATAGGTACTGCAGAAATGTCACAGTGAATACTTGCTGTACTCTCTTGTTGCCAACATAAGTCTCTTTTTGGGATTGAGGGAGACTTATACTTTGTATTTCTACTTGTGCTTATGATCTTACCATAGCATTAAAACTCAATCAGATTAATTTTTCAATATTCAGGAGAGCAAATACTTTCTGTCCAGAGGGACTGTATTGTGCAAATGCTGCAGAGAACTACAAATTATCACTCTGTTTTTGTCTTCTCTTGATAATAATAATCCTTTACCTTTTTAAAAAATTGTTTAACTTTTACAAATACATTCACAATTATATAGGGCAGGCAGCATGGGCATTATTAATCATTATTTTAGCTAAGAGAGATCTGAGATAAGAAGAATAACTTGTCCTAGGTCACAGAACTAGTAAGCTATGATGCCATGACTTAAATTGAGTCTACAGCTTATGCAGCTAAACAATTCTGCCTCTTAACCAATTGTAGCAGTGATAGTATCAGCATCTAAGACTAAATACCTTGTTTTGGGCATCAGAGAGCTGTGACATACTCAGGGAGATGATATAGCAGGCGACAGAGATTTGAATCCTGGTCTACAATTTCTTTAGCAAGTTATTTTATTCACTTCTCTAAGACTCAGTTTCCCTATCTGAAAAAATGGGTAGAAATTTACTATTCAGAGAATTTCTGTAAGAATTGAATAAGATACTATGTTAAATACATAGTATAGTGCTTGTCTTACATTAAGTACTAAGATTAGAGTACCTCCCATTATTATTATATGTTCAAGCGCTCTCCATGATTGCTCTCTGTCTCTGGTGCAGTTCTCTCTCGTGTGGTCAATACTAATATCTGGGGATGATTTTTTTTTTTTGGTCTGCCCCACATATTTCTTATTTCTATTATTTTACCTTAATCTCTCCTTAACCTAACCTGATATATTAATCCCGTGTAAATCTTTTAATGCTTTCTATTTCCATAAACATTGTCTGTTTAATGACACTTCAAAATTCTGTGGGATGTTCAAAAAACCCTCAATATTGCTGTTTTTCCCCCGACTGAATTTTTATTTTTTACCAGTTTGCAGTTATTATTGACTCATTAATGTATTATGAGGCCCCTGAAACAAAGAATGTTGCCATTCTTAGGTGTTCCATAGATCATCTAGATTGTTTTTTATCCTTAACTCTATAGCATGACCCAGCTCTAGCCCCAAATTCTGCATTTGGTGAACATATCTAACTGGAATATTTTCCCCATCAGCTTTGGCAATACTGTCCATATCCTCTCAGTTCAATTCAACAAACATTATTGATCCTCTACTGTATCAATTAAAAATTGTATTCATCTGCAAGTAAAAGAGACCTCAATATTGTGCTTGATAAAATAAGGTTTTGTCCCCCACACCAAAACAAGAAGTCCAGAGGAAAGCAGGCTAGGACTGATGCAGTGACTCCAGTATTTCATCAACTTCCCAGCTTCCTACTATCTTTCAATTCCATTATTCATAACATGTGGCTTTTGTCTTCATGCCTATCAGCTCATGATAGCAAGATATATACTACTCCAGCCTCACATGCAAATTACAGGCTGGAAGTGTAAGAAATAGGGGAAAAAAGTAATAGGCAGCAATAAAAGAGGAAAAAAATCTTTCCCTGTATCCATTGTCCAGAATTGAGTCATATTCACATAGGTTCTCTATCTGAAAGGCAGTCTAAGAAAGTGGTTATTTTAGCAGAAAAATAATGGGAAAATGGATTTTGGGTAAGTAACTGGCAGTATTTGTCATTCCTAAGTTTCTCTTACTACTGGGACAATACAAGACTAAATAAGGCACAGCTCCTTCCCTTTTTCACAGTCTAGTAAGGGAGAAAAACATGGAAGGAAACTATTATGAAAAGATGCGATAATATTGACAAATTGACAATAGTTGAAATATAATATGATTGGGAACACAAAAAGAGGAGGGGAGGGAGTAACTCAACTTTCAAATCAATTCACCTAGCAGTTATTTTATGCTCTAATCCTCTTTGAGATTCAAAGAAGAGTAAAACAGCTTTCTTCATTTTGAGGAGTGTATTAGTCTGCTAGGGCTGCCATAACAAAACACCAGAGACTGAGTGGCTTAAACAACAGAAAGTTATTTTCTCACAGTGCTTGAGACTGGAAGTCCAAGATCCAGGTGCCAAGCAGGGTTGGTGTCTGGTGAAAGCTCTCCCCTTGGCTTTCAGACAGCTTCCTTCTATCTGTGTGCTCGCATGACCTCTTTTTTGTTCTCAAGGAGAGAGAGAATAAGCTCTTTGTTATCTCTGCTTATAAGGACACTAATCCTATTGGATCAGGGCCCCATTGTTATGACCCCATTTAGACTTAATTACTTCCTTAGAAGATCCATCTCTAAATATAGCCCTACTAAGTGTTAGGGCTTCAACATATGAATTTTGGGAGGACACAAACATTCAGTCCATAACAGAGAGTTTATTACATGCTAGACTGACATGTCCTTTTGGCAGTGTCTATCACTTTTCTGAGGATGCGTTATGGCTTGGAAAAGTGAAGATAGTAGAGACATCGGAGGTGAAAATCAGGGAATATTCTCTCTAGTCTAAGTAAACACAATACAGCCATTAAAAAAATGGCTGAGTCCCTCCCATCTCTGGCCTTCCTGGTCCCACATGCTCAAGGACTTCTCTCACTCACAGCATTGCCATGCTATGGACTCCAAGCATGGCAACAGACTCAGACTTAAGTATAATGGAGATCACCCAGGAAACTGCTAAGATATTTTTTGCCCAATGTTATGTTTTCTTTCCTTCTCTTTCCTTGTAAAAATAAGTTTTGTCACAATTGTCAATACACCTGAAACAAGAGAAAAATCTGTTTTTCCCCTTAACTGTGTATATTTTTCTCTGTTCTATTCATTTTGGCAAGCATCTTGACATACTCAAATGGGTATATAATAAACTCGAGGCTGAAAAAAGAAACCAAGAGAGGAAAAATGACAGGAAGGGTGTTTTACATCAAGCAGGGAGAAATGACCTTAATGTATACCTGTTCTATAGCCTTTCTGTCTTTAGATATGCTGGATTTTCTAGTGTGTATAACTTCCATAGGAATCTGAGTCTAACCAAAGTAACTGCTGTTTCTATATGAATAAAGTTTAGGAAAAGAAGCTGCTAGAAGAAAAATATATTTGGGGTGGTTCTTTGAAAATCCTCCTTCATTTTCTAGAAGGCCAACAAATAAGCACCACCAAAAATTAAAGCAAAGCAAAACAAAATAACCCAAACATAAAACAAAGGAAACTATAAAACCCCAACTCCCCCTCCCAAATAAAACTTACCACCAGCATCACCAACAACAAACCTCACAAATAAACATAAATTACAACACAACTAATCGTGTTCTTGGGTTTTAGAAGCAGGAAATTAACTTACAAGATGCTCCATAAAGAGCAGAGAATTAGAGCTTCTCTTCAGGACCCTCTGATGGAGAACAATTATGAAGAAATTGGAGCAGAGACAGACAAGTTGATCAAAATATTGAAAAGTGAAGGATGATTCTGTAAAATAAGAAATATGGGTTATCCAACATGCAAAGGCCCAGAGTAAATTTGTATGATGTAAGAGGAATTATAACCAGCTGTTCTTGGTTTCCATACAGGACAACATAAAAACAAAAAAATAAGAAAGTAAAATGTATTAGGTGCTTCCTGTATACCAGGGACTGTTTGTTGTTGGTACCATTGAGTTGATTCCACCTCCTAGCAACTCTCTTTACAGCAGAGCAGAACCCCACCCAATCTTTTTGCACCACCTTCTCACCTTTTGGCACTATATCAGACAATGCTCTGCTGCTATTTGTAGGGTTTTCATGGTCAAATTTTTCAGAAGTGGGTGGCCAGGTCCTTCTTCCTGTTTATCTTAGTCTGGAAGCTCCACTGAAACCTGTCTACCACGGTTGTCCCTGCTGGTAGGTGACCCTGCTGGTATTTGAAATACTGGTGGTATAGCTTTCAGCAACACAGAGCCACCACAATATGACAACAGAGAGGTGATGTTCCCTGGGAAACAAACCCAGGCTGTAGGGGTGAAAGAACTGAATCTTAACCACTAGTCTGACAGGGCTGGCTGGCCAGATAACTGGGCTACATACTATATACATATTATTTAACTTAATCTTCACAGTAATTCTATGAGTTAGATATTTTTGCTATCCTTATTTAATAAATGTGGAAATTGAGGCTGAGAGGAGTTAAGAAGCTAATAGGAAGTTACAAATAGTAGCAAGTAGTGGTGTCAGGATGAGGATCAAAATCATGCAGAGTGATGGAAAGAATATTCTAGGCAGAAGAAGTAGAAAATGTTAAAGCTTCAAGGGCAGGAAAACTTTGGTATGTTTGTGTATTTGAAAGAAAGCCATTGTGGCTGATGTTTAATAATGAGCCTGATGAAGAAGGCAAGGCTAGATAAGCAAGATCCTTTCTTTTACGCCAAAAAAGAATTTTTTAAATTTTATTTCTAAGGCATTAAGTAGTCTTTAAGCAGGAGAGTGATATGATCCAGTTTAATATTTTAAAATCACTCTGGCTGTTGTGGATTGAGTGAGTGTGTGGTGGTTACTGAGTGAACAGTGAAATCAGTTAGATATCTGTTGCAATAGTATGAGTAAGAGATGATAGTGACTTGGTCTGGTGGTGGAGATGAAGAAAAGTGGATAGATTAAAGATATATATATTTTAGGTACTATTTATGAGATTTGATGATGGATTAGTGGTAGAGAGGTTGAAGAAGTTATCAAGGCTAACCACTAGACTTCTGGCAAGAGTAACTTGGTTGATGGATGAGTCATTTGCAGATATGGTCTAGATTGGAAGATAAAGTCTGAGATACCCGTGAGAGGTACAGGTGGAGATGTCTTGCAGGTAGTTGGATATGTAGAATTTGGAACCTAAAACGTAATTTTCGGTTGGTGATACCCATTTGGAAGTTGTCGGTATGTATATACTATTTAAAGCCATGGGAGTGGTTGAGATTTCCTAGGAAGAGAGTTTAGAGTGAGGAAAGGATCAGAAAAAAACGCTGAACAGCTCCAATATTTAGAAATATGGAGGAGGAGGGGACAGCCCAGTGGCACAGCAGTTAAGTTTGCACATTCCACTTCAGCGGTCTGGGGTTTGCTGGTTCAGATCCCAGGTGCAGACCTATGCACCGCTTGTCAAGCCATACTGTGGCAGGCATCCCACATATAAAGTGGAGGAAAATTGGCATGATGTTAGCTCAGGGCTAGTCTTCCTCAAAAAATAAATAAATAAATAAATAAAAGAAATATGGAGGAGACAGAGCAGACAAAAAGAAAACCCAGCAGAATAGGAGGAAAACAGAGGTTATGGAGTTTTAGAATGGAGTTATTGTTATATTATGGAGGCTAAGAAAATGAAAGAAGGAAAGAGAATTCAACTCCTTGGAAACTTCTGAAAGGTCAAGTGAAATAAGACTCATGGAAAACAGTAAATAAATTTGACCTTTGTGAGAGTAGTTTAAATGTCGTGATGAGAGTAAAAGCCAGGTTAGAATAGGTTGAAGAGTGAATTGAACTCCGTTACCAGTAAAACTGCAGATAAGGTGTCCTGAAAAAACCCTTAATGTAAAACACCTACAAATACTAGATAGAATAGGAATGATAATTTTAAATGCACAAATGAGCTCACAAGTAAGTAAGAGAAATCCTTGGAGGCCAAAAAAGAAGGGAGGTTGGATCAGAGTTGTAGGTGGTTGCTGATATCATGGCTGTTCCTAAGGGCATCTGCTGATTTTGGTGATCCACTTTTAATGACTATAGCAGTACAGGAGAAAAATCTCTGCACTCACAAAGGTGGGAAAATATCAGTGAGTACCCACATAAAGCCATGATTTTAACTCTATGATTAATATGAGGGTAGACTTGAAACAAATATGTATCTCCCTACCAACTAATGAAGATAACGAGGCAGATTGTCTCTTGGCCTGGGCTCTGAGTAGAAAATAATAGAAATATTTGCTTTGAGAATAAAAAAGTGGATGACATAAATGAAGATAAGACTAATGAAAGTTAAAGACTAATGAAATAAAAGATGGAGTTGCAGAAATTATCACAAAGAAGTAAAGAACATGAAAGAGAGGTTAAGAGACATGGAAGTTAGAATGAGAAGGTCTGACATGTCTCATTGGAATTCCAGAAGAGACTAGAAATAATGTGGCAGAAGCAATTTGCAAGACTTGGATGAGAATTTTCCAGAATTGATGAAAGACGTAATTCTGTTTCAGGAAGCACAGAAAATCCCAACCAAGAAAAATAAATATATTAGAAAAGAAGAAAGGATGGAAATTAATAAGCCAAGAATCCAATTTAGGAAGTTAGAAAAAGGAGAGAATAAATTCAATAAATAGGAAAGAAGGAAATAATAAAGTGGAAAAGATATTAAAAAAGAAAACAAACAATAAAGATAAGATTAAGGTACAGCAGCTTCTGGCCAGTTTAATAACAGAGAGAGTGATTGAGAGAGAGAGGGAGGGAGGAGATAGGAGAGGCACAATTAGGAATGAAAAATATGGACTACTTTAAATGTATTTGTGTTTAATAAGCTAAATGAAAGAAAGAAGCAGGACAATGTGTAAATGGTTCAAGTGTAGATGTCAAAGTGAACTTATGGTCCTGTTTCCTTGAAAGCAATAAAGTTAAGTTAGATTTGGAATATTGTGTCCTCCAAACCCTTCCCTTATCTGAAGCTGTGTGCTTGGGTCCTAAATAGAGGCTGCTTATCTGTGTCAAAGTGACTTAGATCCTTCAGGCAAAAATGGGATATTTCAATCTTACTGATATAATTTCAAAAGCAATCTCTGATCATCTATGATTTCAGAGTGCGGTTTCTCAGTGAATAAGAAAGCAATAGTCATTCAAAGAAAGGAGTTGTTATGACACTTTATAGCCGCAGCATGTTCTTGGGAGAAATATTGTTTCCTATTAAATTTGCAGCTGGCTTTATCTGGGTCTGTTATTCCATCCTGATGAATGAAAGGGCAGATTTGTAGTATCTGAGGTTTTTTTTTTTACTTTCTCATCTCAAATCTTATCTCATGGCCTCTGACCATCATTTGAAATTTCAAGAATTAAGGAAATTCCAGAGTACTGATGTGTTTTCAAAAAGAATAGTTTCCAGAAACTAGTAAACTTGATGTTGTTCTTTGTCAATATTCTAGCTTAGATTGGAAATTCATTGATATCCTTTTCTCATAGGGCTTCTTAGGTTGGCAGATCAGGAAAATTATTCATCATCTTTGTAATGTTTTTTCAAGTATACAGATTGCTTTCATTTTGATTATCTCATTTGATTCTCACTATGAGCTTCTTAATTTTCATATTAGGAATCGAGGCTAAGAAAGGCTAAGTAACTTGCTCAGCGTTGGGTAGCAGATTTATCTTTCTCTAAGCTCCATGATTTGTCCATTGCTTCCTGCTGCCTCCAAGTTCAAAGAATTCCTGAATTATTAGACATTTGGGAAAACCTTTGCAAGGTTGATATCAGTTTGGAAAATGATTGCTTTTTGTTTTTTTACTTCTACCTCAAAATCATTCTTTTCCCCTCACCATTTTTATTGATATACAACTCTAATTTCAGTTGAACTTCCAAAATGAAAATTCCCAAGAGTTTTCTGATCCTTGGGATTTAACCATGTTCGCAGTTTTCTTTGAGAATTTTTAAGCTTCAAATTTTCACCTGAGTGTTTAATGAGTGAGGGAATGCAAAGAAATAATGAAATGTATATTAGTTTTCTAGGGCTGCTGTAACAAATAACACAGACTGGGTAGCTTAAACAACAGAAATTATTTTTTCCCACTATTCTGGAGGCTAGAAGTCCAAGATCAAGGTGTTGGTAGGGTTGGTTTCTTCTGAACTTCTCTTGACTTGCAGATGGGCAGTCTTTTCTTTTTGTCTTCACTGTAGTCTTCCCTCTGTGTGTATCTGTGTTCTAATCTCCTCTTCTTATAAGGACACTAGTCATATTGGATTAGAGCCCACCCTAGTGATCTCATATAACTTAAATACCTCTTTAAAGATCCTATCTTCAAATATAGTCAGATTTTGAGGTATTTGGAGTTAGGACTTCAAAATAAGTGTTTTGGGAGGACACAATTCAGCCCATAACAAATATGTTGTTGGGGCCGGCTGGGTGGCGCAGCGATTAAGTGCGCACGTTCCGCTTTGGCGGCCCGGGGTTCGCCAGTTTGGATCCTGGGTGTGGACATGGCACCTCTTGGCAAGCCATGCTGTGCCAGGTGTCCCACATATAAAGTAGAGGGAGATGGGCACGGATGTTAGCTCAGGGCCAGCCTTCCTCAGCAAAAAGAGGAGGATTGGCAGCGCCTGTTAGCTCAGGGCTAATCTTCCTCAAAACAAACAAACAAACAAAAAAACCAAATATGTTATTCATTGTTGTATTTCTGGAGTCTATCACAGTTCCTAGAACTTAGTATTTTTTGAATGAAAAATTAAATTATCAGGATGTTAGAAGTTTGAAGACTTAAAACGAGATTTGTAAAATTAGCTAGGCAACTAGTCAACTGAATGGCAGATTAGAACTTCTGTATAGGGTTAACTGGGATGTGAGGAGAAAAAGCATGAAGTAACAGCGTTTTGATTAATGTGTAGTTATTAAATTTGCAGTATTATTTTTGAGGAAGGGACATAGTATGTTTAAGATTTGATAGCAGCCAAGATACTGTCGGTTAGTGGGACTTCTTCTCCCTAAAGGGTTGATAGTTAAAATAGTCTTCAAACTTTTGGGATAACTATTTCTGACTTCAGCCATTCCCTTTCATATTCCAC